ATATATATATATACATATGTTGTTTTAATTGTTGGTCTTCTTTTGCAGAAAAAAGCATTGGCTAGTGACTTATATGAACAAGTATTTTATAGTCTCGATTTAATTGAAAAGGATTATTTTGGACTTCAATATACAGATAGTAATAATGTCCAACACTGGCTAGATCCAACAAAACCTATCAAGAAACAAGTTAAAAGTATGTGTCACTTTTTTAAAATTCTTTTAAAAGCAAAAGAGCATAAACTTACATAATTTTTTATCTAGTTGGACCTCCGTACACGCTCAGATTAAAAGTAAAATTCTATTCTTCGGAACCAAACACGCTGCGTGAGGAGCTGACGCGGTACCAGTTCTTCTTGCAGTTGAAGCAAGATGTTTTAGAAGGCAAGCTTCACTGTCCTCATCAAGTTGCAGTTCAGTTAGCTGCTTTAGCTCTTCAATGTAAGTTTATTCAAGAATTAAAATAGATTTTTTACGGATCAATTGACAAATCAATACAATAATAATGCCTGTTAGAGAGCCAACATAGGATGTCAACAAGATGTGAAATTTAATTTATTTAAAAAGATTTCAAACAATATGCAAACATTTCGATTCAATTTTGGATCTTTATCAATGCTCGTGATTAATTAAATTAGTCAGCTAAATTGTAATGTTGTTGACAACGACGATCATTGTCCCAGGAAGTACATTTAGGAAATAACTAATTTAATTAATCATGAGCATTGATAAAAATTCGAAATTGGATCGAAACGTTTGCATATTGTTTGAAATCTTTTTCTAACTAAATTAAATTTCACACCAACACCCTGTGTTATCTCTAATAGGCATTATTATTATATTGATTTATAGAAATATTTTTAATAATTTTTTGTTATTATTAATAAATTTTTGTTATTATTAATAAAATTAATAATACTATAATAAAATTATAGCTGTCATAGTGTGACAAATGTTTGTTCAATAAAAAAATGGAATTCTTATTTTAGCTGAATTAGGAGATTACGATCCTGCTATGCACAGTGCTGCGACTGTATCGGAATTCCGCTTTGTGCCAGGCCAAACGGAACAGATGGAACTGGAGATACTGGAAGAATATATCAAATGTTCTGGTCTCAGCCCGGCCCAAGCAGAATCTGCATATCTTAGCAAGGCCAAATGGCTAGATATGTATGGCGTCGATATGCACATTGTTCTTGGTAAAGATGCCTGCGAGTATTCTCTGGGCTTGACTCCAACCGGCATTCTGGTTTTTGAAGGCACGCAAAAGATAGGCTTGTTCTTCTGGCCAAAGATTGGTCGTTTGGATTTCAAGAAAAAAAAACTGACGCTGGTGGTCGTAGAAGAAGACGATGAAGGCAGAGGCGAGCAGGAGCACACTTTCGTGTTTAGATTGGTGAACGAAAAGGCCTGCAAGCATTTATGGAAGTGCGCAGTGGAGCATCATGCTTTTTTCCGTCTACGTGCACCGGTTAAGGGAACCAGCGGCCGCCAGAACTTTTTCCGTATGGGTTCGCGTTTCCGTTACAGCGGCAAAACGGAATTTCAGACGACACAGCTGAATCGGGCGCGCCGCACCGTGCAATTCGAGCGACGACCGAGTCAAAGATATGCGCGACGACAAAGTCACGTTCTTCGCGAAAGGCAGCGTCAACAACAACAGGTAGAACAGCCGCAACCTTCTCCACCTCCAGGTGAGCTGAAATATATTTTAATTAGCATAGTGATGGCAATCTCATATTTCGAAACTTAACATTTTATTAAAAACTTTATTTATTATTAAAAAAAAAGAAATTTTCGCAAGCTGTTTAAAAATGCGAATAGAGCGAATAGATGATATATAATATTGTATTTCAGTTTATTTGAGAATATTTTGAAAAAATATTTTTTTATCGAGATATTTTTTAAATATTTTAGATTTTGATAAGAGAAATATAGTTATATTTATAGTTAAACTTTGACGTAAAAAAGATCATATAAAGAATTAAGAATTATTTCTTTGATTTTTTAATCTGTAATGTAAATATTTTAAATATCATTTTTATATTATGTTTTTTAAAAATATTTTCAGCCGACGAAGAACCCTTGCAGCGTCAATCGAATCGATCCAGTACAAAATCTTCGAACTCTTCGAGTGTTCAGGGCACGTCATCGCCTTTGGTAGATTCTCTGTTGAAGTCTCTCGCCAAAGATCAACAACCACTAGAGGCCAGGAACCAGACGACGGTTAGCAGTAGCGAGAAAGAGTCAGAACCTATGAAAACCAGTTTGACGGTTGAAACTATCACCAATCAAGTGCAGCTAGTACCTAATAATCAAGTGGGTGGAATATCGTCGTTACCCCCTCGAACACCAATTCCGCCGGAATCTCTAAAGTGCAACATACTGAAGGCTACTCTTGAGCAGGGGAAAAATTCGAATTTGGTCTCCATTACGTCCACAGAAAGCTCTGGAGTAATTGCAAAGAAAAATCAACACTCAGATGCGGCAACTATCGTTTCCGTGGTAAGCATCGTTAACTTTCATTTACAATTTTTTCTATTTTTATAGTTTTTGTCCTGCTTGAATCGTTTACATTGTATGTCTTTTGTGTATTTTTGATTGTATTCTTTTTATATTTTATATCTTTTTAAATTTAAGATATTTTTGTCTTAGTAATATAACTTAACGTATTTTTTACATATGTATTGTATAGTATTATAAAATATTTATAAACTTATGCGCAGCTTATTATATAATTATATAAATAATTATATAAGTAATAATATTAAATTTTGTCAAGATATTATTCTTTGTTGCTGTTTATGTTTATATTATTTATTATGTCTGCTTTATGCTAGACGCCAGCCATAATGTGTTTGCTTTCTTGCTTTCTTCATCAAATAGGGTGGTGACAAATTGACTCTCTCCGTGAGCGGAGCGACAACAGCAGTAAATCCTTCTATGGACGATGCTGTTACTGTAACGCATTTTTCGTTGGACAGTTGGGGACAGATCGAACAAAAAACTACGTCGTTAAGCCCGAAAGTATCGAACCAACAATCACAAAATCCTTTCAATCCGTTCACTAATGATAGCATCGATACGTCTAATACGCCCGAAGCTTCCGAGGAGGAAGCAAAACCGGAAGACGACAAGAAAAAGAACACCAATCCATTCATAGACTCGAACCCATTCTTGGGTATTCTCAATCCCTTTAAAGATTTACAACCGGTTACAATAGAGAAAAAAGTCGAGGCGGATATAGAAAAAGCCGGAGCGCGGGTTGTTAAAACTGAGGAGATACAAACGACCACTACGACACTTACACACAAGGTCAGTTACATTTTTAACGCTTGCAGTCCAACGTCTCGTCTATCACGTAAACATCCTGATTTCATCAAGAACGGAAAACTTACTTTTAGAATAAATAAAGTCTAAGAAACTTATCATTTAGCGCTAATCATAAAAAAAAGTAAGATTTTATTTTATGGGAGTAAGTTAGACGTGTTGATGAAAGCGTAAAAATTTGTTTTGTGTGAAAGTTGTGTTTGTGTATACGTGAATAATAAAGTTGAATATTCTTCGAGTTCATAATTTGGACTATTAAAATTTGGTCATTAAAGTTAATATAAATGATGATTATTAATATTCTATACAATGATAATTTTTAAAAATAATTATTATTAACAATCCAGAAAAATTAATTCAGAGTAAAGCATTAAAAGACGTATTTTCACAGGATGAGAGTCAAGCGGCGTCAGACATTAGTCCTTGGTTAGTAGCGGATCCGTCACAAAGTCCAGCACCTGATCAAACACCAACTAAGCATACAATAATTACGAGAAAGACGGTAATTACCACACAGTTATAAAATATTTATTAAATATTACAAAGAAAAAAAATAATATCGATATACAATGCGCGAGAAAGTAGCACCAACGTACGACTATATATATTTACTTTGGTCTTCCTCGGACTGCCTATAGCTTTCTTTTTTTACTTACTTTACAAAGTGCGTAATGTTAGTCATAACAATCGTGACAATTAAAATTTGGCATGTAAAAAACTACATGTTAAAAAATAGTTATGAAAGGTTCTAAGTTGTTACTTAAATATAAAAAGCAAAGTACCATTTTGGGAAGGCATTATTTAAGTTATTACTGGGATATTTTTATGTCTATTAGTAAAACAGTCGTTTTATACCGACTAAGAATTTGCATAATGAGGTAAGCTTTCTGTTTATAGCATCATAAATATTCCTTAATTGTACAATGCATTTATCTTAAGATTATGTGTTGATAAAACAAGTGTCCTTATAATCTGCCAACATGTATTAGTAAGGTACGTATGCAAGATTTATTCGCGTTAAACACTTTTTACGTTTGTTTTTTGCAATTTTATGTTTTCTTTCTATTTGCAAAAAATAAATGTACTTTATTTCGTTTTAATTATGGAGTGCAGCTAAAACGAACAAATCTACGTATTTCGTGAGGCAATATATATTGCTCGTGTCTAAATATTAAGTCTATGCATTTATAAGGTAGCATTTTTGTATTAGTAACCATTGTGCCTTCGAATTTAACGTGCGATGGACAAACATGCAATTATGCGAATATTAGAAACGAAAAAATCATATTCGCTGTGACTGATTAAAAATATAAGTATTACATACCCATTATAATATCATATAAATTACATAAATAATTGTGCTATATAAATAAATTTGATTAAAACTTTTGAGAATACTATTGTCGATAAAAATTTTTAGATTTGGTATAATGACGTCAACTAATGATGTTGATTCTATCTATTCTTTGTACGATTTGTGGATAATATATTTATGTATTATAAATAAAAGAGACAATAATCGATAGATGAATAAAAAAATTAATACGCGAATCATCGCCAGTCTTAGGTAGCACAACTTGTGCCTCAAACATGCAACTATAAAGATATTCGTGTTTATTCTATGCCTATGAAACTATGAATCGAATTTTTATGTATATATTTATAACAGAATGTATGTATGTGTGTATATATATATATATATA